TCGCAAATAAAACTAGTTGGCTGGGTGGAATGAGAGCGTAGGGGAAATGAGAAGCCTGTGAGCGAGTTGAGGAGCAGTGCTAACCTTAAGCCTTGCAGAAACGGGTATAGCTCCTTTAAAGCAAAAAGGTATCCACCCATCGTCTCTCTGTGTGTGTGTGTGTGTGTGTTTGTGTGTGTGTGTTTGTGTGTGTGTGTGTGTGTGTGTGTATGTGTGTTTATGTGTGTGTGTGTGTGTGTGTGTTTATGTGTGTGTGTGTGTGTTTATGTGTGTGTGTGTGTGTGTTTATGTGTGTGTGTGTGTGTATGTGTGTGTGTTTATGTGTGTGTTTATGTGTGTGTGTGTGTTTGTGTGTGTTTATGTGTGTGTGTGTTTATGTGTGTGTGTGTGTTTATGTGTGTTTGTGTGGGTTTATGTGTGTGTGTGTGTGTGTGTTTATGTGTGTGTGTGTATGTGTGTTTATGTGTGTGTGTGTGTTTATGTGTGTGTTTGTGTGTGTTTATGTGTGTGTGTGTGTGTATTTGTGTGTGTGTGTGTGTGTATGTGCGTGTGTGTTTATGTGTGTGTGTGTGTTTATGTGTGTGTGTGTGTTTGTGTGTGTTTATGTGTGCGTGTGTGTGTTTATGTGTGTGTGTTTATGTGCGTGTGCGTGTGTGTGTGTTTATGTGTGTGTGTTTATGTGCGAGTGCGTGTGTGCGTGTGTGTTTATGTGTATGTGCGTGTGCGTGTGTGTTTGTGTGTGTGTTTATGTGCGTGTGTGTGCGTGTGTGTGTGTATGTGCGTGTGCGTGTGTGTTTATGTGTGCGTGTGTGTGTGGTCTGCTAAACTCTCCTTGTTAAGTTCTGTCCCTTTTCTCTGTGGTGTCAAACTGCTGTTGACATGATTTGAGAGTTGGGGAAGTTGCAGCCACAGGACATTAGGAGCAGCCTCCACTCTCTGCAGAAAAGATCTACATGAGCCTCTCTCTAAAGGCTCAGCACAGACCACTCTTCTCATCACTCAAACTAATTGGTCTCTGTGAATCTGTGCCTCAGAGACGTGGGGAAAAGCCTGGACCTTCTTGATGCTATTGATTGAATTTACATCCAAGAAGTGGTGGACATGAGTGACTCCATGGCTAATAAGCGTAAGGCCTCGGCTTTACTACATGTGGCTCTCTCTGACGAATTAGTTCAGTATTTAAGTCGCGTACCGGTACTTTTATGGTACATGTTTTTTTATTGTCACGTCCTTTTCGGTTCCAAATGAAGTCCCCCTGTTCCATCTTGTTCCAAATGTCCATGGAGAGACTTTAAAGCCTTGAAATTGTTTTTTTTTTTTCTAATGACTTGAAACTGTCAGAGGTCCTGTTTATTCCACCTCGGGACGGGGCCTTTCGATGTGGAGTTTGCATGTTCTCTCCTTCCTGTATCTGTGTGGATTTCCTCCGGGTGCTCCGGTTTTAAAAACACAAAACACATGTGAGCAGATGGTGATGGTCTGGGCCTTTGATTTTTTGGCGTCTCGCTTCTGTCATCACCGTAGTTATGCTGTAGTTATCTGCAGAGCTGAGGTGGGAGAGTCTGTCCATAGGACAACAATCAGTCGTGCACTGCACAAATCTGGCCTTTATGGAAGAGTGGCAAGAAGAAAGCCATTTCTCAAAGATATCCATACAAAGTCTCGTTTAAAGTTTGCCACAAGCCACCTGGGAGACACACCAAACATGTGGAAGAAGGTGCTCTGGTCAGATGAAACCAAAATCAAACTTTTTGGCCACAATGCAAAACGATGTGTTTGGCGTAAAAGCAACACAGCTCATCACCCTGAACACACCATCCCCACCTCAGCTGTAGTTATCTGCAGTTCATCCAGTGAGTGATCATGGGCCTCTTGGCTGCATCTCTGATCAGTCTTCTCCTTGTTTGAGATGAAAGTTTGGAGGGACGGCCGGGTCTTGGTAGATTTGCAGTGGTCTGATACTCCTTCCATTTCAATATAATTGCTTGCACAGTGCTCCTTGAGATGTTTAGAGCTTTGGAAATCTTTTTGTATCCAAATCCGGCTTTAAACTTCTCCACAACAGTATCTCGGACCTGCCTGGTGTGTTCCTTTGTCTTCATGGTTCTCTCTGTGCTTTAAACAGAACCCTGAGACTATCAAAGAGCAGGTGCATTTATACGGAGACTTGATTACACACAGGTGCATTCTATTTATCATCATCAGTCATTTAGGACAACATTGGATCATTCAAAGATCCTCACTGAACTTCTGGACTGAGTTTGCTGCACTGAAAGTAAAGGGGCCCAATAATATTGCACGCCCCACTTTTCAGTTTTTTATTTGTTAAAAAAGTTTAAATTATCCAACAAATTTGATTCCACTTCACAATTGTGTGAAGTGGAAGTGTCCCACTTGTTGTTGATTCATGACAAAAAAATAAAATTTTATATCTTTATGTTTGAAGCCTGAAATGTGGCAAAATGTTGAAAGGTTCAAGGGGACCGAATACTTTCGCAAGGCACTGTACATTTTGTACTAAGGTCTGGAGGTCCATTGACTCCGTTAACAGATTGAAACCTGCATTGGATCTGAGTTTACTGTGACGTTTGTAATGCACCCAAGTGAGTTGTTAGCATTTAGTGTTTAGCCTAGCTTTAGCCATCTCCTTTGCCGCTAACGGAGTGCCACAATCTTTACCAGCGATTACATTTGCTAAACGTTCCTCTTGCACCGGCTTCAGTTTCTTGATAGAACCAGACCGGAATACTTTACTATCGCATTCTCCACCAAACTACAACCTGCTCGTTCGGCGCAAACTCTTGACGTCACCCACATCTAACTACAACACCCGCCTCCCGCGCTCTCTGATTGGTCAGATGGAATTCAACCGATTGTAATCGCAAACACAGGGACCAGACCCAGACGTTACATGCAGGACATGATGATTGACAGGAGTGTAGGACGGATAAGACCAGGGTTTTATCCTGACCTTTTGAAGCATTAGAAAAACAAACAAATCAATGACTTAAACATCTCTGTAAACGTTTGTAAGGCATTCCCATTGCTTGCCTTCCTTCTTCTTCATCTCTCACACAACCATAGTTACGCCATACATGCTGATATGATCACCTTCACCTCCCGCTCGTCATCATCGCTCCCAGATTACCGGGCGCAGACGCTGCAGAGGAAGTGTGAGACGGGAGCAAAAACGGCCGCATCACCGAAAATGCAAAAGATGTGGTCGGCTCAATAAAAGTAATTGCATGCATTTGAAGAACTATTGACGAATGTTGTCATCTATAGACAAGAGATATGGAGCCAAACCAGTCCAAGGGCCTCCAGAGGTGGACGTCCGCAGCCAGTCATCCAGGCTGTAATGAGTCTAAAGCTGAGGGACCTAACTTCTTCAATAATACATGTTGTTTATGACCAATGGAATGAGTTTTGTTAAAGTAAAATTCTGTGAAAGAAGCAGACCCCATCAAACTGTCTTCATCTTATTCAAAAATCTTTCTTATCTTTGCCATATTTTTGCCTGAAAGATGCCTGTGAGAAACTATCAGACATGAGCTGAGAGCTGATTGGCTGAGTTTCACGTTTTTGTCTGAGAAAGCTGATCTAAATCTGACAGATGCCAAAATAAGCGACAGAACCAAACTTTTTTATGGCCATAGATTTCATCACATTTGTTTGAAAGTCAGGTACCCCAGCTTTAACGGTGCACTTGTCCATTTGGTCAGAGCGCTCATCTTTTATCACGGAAGTTATAGAAAGTCAGACCCATAGTGACGGACCTTCCTGCTGCTGTCAGACTGTACGATGAGAACTGCTGAGCCTATACACGTGCCGTCATAATCCATTCATTTGATATTTCTGTCATATACAGTGGGGCAAAAAAGTATTTAGTCTGCCACCGATTGTGCAAGTTCTCCCTGATTTTTTTTTTCCACATTCAGATTCAGATTCATTTTATTCGCCATTTGCAGTAACACTACATTGGAATACATTAGTAAAAGTTCCCAGTGTGCACAGGACAAGTACAGACACAAAACAACATTAAAAGACAAGAATAAAACAAACAGTAAACAAATGTCACTGTGAAGTTGACCAACTAAAACAGATCTATACAAGTGCAAAAACATTAAAGTGCTCTATTCAAACTGATAACAGCTCGTGGAAAAAAAACATAACGAGATGTCCTGCATCTCAGAGAACAGTATCTTCTGCCAGAGGGAAGAAGCTGGAACAAGGCTTTTCCTGGGTGGCCAGAAGAGTCATTGATAATTCTCAGGGCACTGTTAAAAAGTCTGGATTGATAAAGAGCCTCCAGGACAGGAAGTTCACAGCCTACAGTCCCCTTTGCAGAGCGGAGCACCTTGTTTAAAGCTCTCTTTTCTTTATCTGTGATGTTACCGAACCACACAGACACAGAACCAACAAGTAAACTCTCAATGGTGCAGCGGTAAAAGTTCAGCAGAATCTTAGAGTTAGTGGTAAATTCTCTAAGTTTCCGCAGGAAGTAGAGACGCTGACGAGCTTTCATTCTGTCTCTCACAGTTGAAGTGAACCTATGATGAACATTACAGACCTGTGTCATTATTTTAAGTGGGAGAACTTGCACAATCGGTGGCTGACTAAATACTTTTTTTCCCCACTGTACGAGTCACTTTACCTGCTGCTATTGTTACTATTGTGTACATTCTCTGCTGCTAAAATACTATAATAATATCTGTAAATACCTCCTGCTGACTGCGGCGTATATTCTACCAGTGTACGATCTTTGAACCAAGTGCAATTATAGCTCAAGGGTTGATTTTATTTTGATTATTTGATTATTTTGTTTATTATTTATCATCTTAAATAGAATATCCTGTGTGATGTGTACAACCTGAGTTCTCTAATTTCTTCCCTTTATGCTTCTGTAATGATGACATTTCCCAAATAAAGGCTTGTTTTATCTTATCTTGAGGTTTTAGATATTTTTAGTGATAATTTGGTTTTGTTTGTTGTTTTTGCAGCTGCAGAGGCTGAAGAAATCCTTGTCCTTTAAGTCGGTGATGCGCAGCAAAAGCGTGGACAACTTCTTCCAGAGAAACGGAGACTCGCGGCCTCCTCCCCCGGCGCTGATCAGCCCGGCCCGGCCCGTCTCCCCCCCTCACGACGCCCCGTCCTCCCCCTCCATGTCTCCCTCCGTCAGCCCCAACCCCTCCCTGTCCTCGCACTCCCCTTCCATCAGCCCCTCCATCGGCTCCCAGCCCCACGCTCAGGTCCAGCCCCACGCTCAGGTCCAGCCCCACGCTCAGGTCCAGCCCCTGAAGACCCACTGCTTCCAGGAGCACGTGTTCCGCAGGGCCACCAACTGTGAGAGGTGCAAACACGTCATACAAGGTGAGATTTGCATTTCACCGCGACCGCTGTCCGTCCAATCGTTCATGAACACAGAGATGGGAAGACGGGTTACGACACTGGGCAGGACTTAAAGCTGACGGTTGTTGTCTTAGCCAAAACTTTAAATATGTAAAAAAACAGTTTTAGAGCCAGGAACTAGTTTTTATTTGAAAGTTAAGCTTTAATGGAGCGCTGGCGATCAGGTTAAAAGAGTCATACTGTTTTGATACAAATCTCCCTGATGTGGCTGAATATAAAAAGTGTGTAACCTTGACTGTGGATCTAATAAAACATTCATCTGAACCTTTACTTCTGTAATTCAACCTTGTTAAACTAATATATGACATTACAGTACAAAGTGAGATATATCAAGCCTTAACTGTTCTAATGGTATTTATCATTATTATAAACAAGAAGGTCCTGTGTTCAATCTGTGTGGAGTTTGCATGTTCTCCACATTCATCAACATGTTATGCTAGCAAAGGTGTTGTTTCAGTTTGTGTGTGATGAGTCTCTATCACATATTGAGTGAATATCTGATTGAAAACAGGAGAAACTCCGACACTGTGTTCTCATTGACAGAGTTGAAAAAAATTGGAGAAAGTGGAAACCTTTAGCGTTGATGACGGTGAACTAGAACAGACGATGGAGTTAAAGTGTGTATTGTTCTTCTGTGCAGGGAACTCGAAGCAGGGGCTGCGGTGTAAAGCGTGTAAGCTAGCAGCTCACCTCTGGTGCTCCTCGGAGCTGTCGCAGCTGCCGTGTACCGGGAAAGTAAGTTATTGCAGTATCACATTTCAATATGCTCCAGCGAGTACTTAAGAGCAGTAACAGCCCACAGACTTATGGAGCCTCTGCAGTCATCCAAGTCATCAGCACTTTATGGAGAGAGGGTTCAGTGTTACAGAGTCCGAAGGCGTTCACATTGTGTGCAAGTTTATTTATCTAGCACTTTTCTTAGGGACACACAAAGCACTTTAAAGTTTAGGCGTATTGTCCATTCACTCGAGGCCGGCAGCGAAGCATGGTTTTCATTTAGAACATTTACATTCATTCAATCATCATTGTGTCCTCTGTTTTCTGAAGGGAATTCCACTAATAATATTATCTCGAGACCTCTGCTGAATATTCTCATTTGTCCAAAGTGAAACTAATGTGAGACTCATTTCACGCACAATCAGAAATATCAAAGCCTTTAATTGTCTCACAGGTTGTAAAAGTCTGCCCTGTTTGTAAGTTACGGGCCAAAGATACAGTAAAAGGGGAATCCAATGACGCTTGATAATATGCAGAGATTTACTGATTAACCTTAACCTAAAACAGTTTAGGAGAAAAAACAAGTCCTCCTCTCATGTCAAGACCGAGAATAGTTTAGATTGTAATTTAGAAACGCTTTAAATGCAGCTACATCCTTAGTTTCCTTTGCCTTACCGTCTGTGGCTAAAAACACCCTCATAAGATAAGAGATAAGATAAGTCTCACAGTGGAGAAATGTCAGTGTCATCGTTGCACATTACAGCAGAGAAAGGAAATAAGAGCGCTCAGATTGCACACATCAAAGTCTATTATTTAAGATAATAGACAATAAATTTAAGATAAAATAAAATAAAATAAAATAAGAAAATCTGGGCTACAATTGCACTTGGTTCGGAGTATTTACAGATGTCTATATTATACATTAGCAGCGGAGAATATGAGAATATGAGCAGAATAAACATCAGGAATAATATCAACAGGTAAAGTGACTTGAATGGGAGAATTATCAAAATCATATCTGTGAACTGACACTAGCTGCGTTTCCATTGAGCATCAAATTTCGAAATTTGAATTTGCGCATCATAAAATGTCTAATGGAAACGCGCAAATTTCGAATAAACCACATTTTTTCGATAAAAAGTTAATGCGCTTAAAATCGGTGGTTTTTTGGACGTATCGAAATTAAGTTTTTCGCAAAACGGCAATGGAAACACTTATTTCGATATAGCGGAGGAAGCCGAGCTGAGCTTTATTCAGTGAGTTTTGGCTGCGCTTCGTGTGGAGACTTGGGAGAGACGGGGGAGAGACGGGGAAGAGACGGGGAAGAGACGGGGGAGAGACGGGGAAGAGACGGGGGAGAGACGGGGGAGAGACGGGGGAGAGACGGGGAAGAGACGGGGGAGAGACGGGGGAGAGACGGGGGAGAGACGGGGGAGAGACGGGGGAGAGGACGGGGGGAGACGGGGAAGAGACGGGGGAGAGGCATGAGGGAGAGACGGGGGAGAGGCATGAGGGAGAGACGGGGGAGAGGCATTGGGAGAGACGGGGGAGAGACGGGGAAGAGACGGGGAAGAGACGGGGGAGAGACGGGGAAGAGACGGGGGAGAGACGGGGGAGAGACGGGGGAGAGACGGGGAAGAGACGGGGGAGAGACGGGGGAGAGACGGGTGAGAGACGGGGGAGAGACGGGGAAGAGACGGGGGAGAGGCATGAGGGAGAGACGGGGGAGAGGCATGAGGGAGAGACGGGGGAGAGGCATGGGGAGAGACGGGGAAGAGACGGGGGAGAGACGGGGGAGAGACGGGGGAGAGACGGGTAAGAGACGGGGAAGAGACGGGGGAGAGACGGGGGAGAGACGGGGGAGAGACGGGGGAGAGACGGGGGAGAGACGGGGAAGAGACGGGGGAGAGACGGGGGAGAGACGGGGAGAGACGGGGGAGAGACGGGGGAGAGACGGGGAAGAGACGGGGGAGAGGCATGAGGGAGAGACGGGGGAGAGGCATGAGGGAGAGACGGGGAAGAGACGGGGGAGACAGGCAAGACCCGTGTCAATGGTTCTGTGCGCGCGTCTATAGTCCGCGCTCGGTACATGACCACGGCGTTCGCGGAGCTGTCAAAGCAGCCACAGTTTCTCCCGGGGTCAGAGGTCAGAGAGGATGAGAGCCGCAGCAGAAGTCAAGACATTAATATATCTCACGTAAATCAAAGTGTTGTTTACTTCTGTTGCCATGTTGACGTACTAGAAACTAGTGAATAAACGCGCGAAAATAGTGTATATGTCTTAATGGAAACGGCCGCTTTTGCGAATTACAGGTTTTTCAAATTTTGAAATGTATCGAAAAAGTTTTTGCGCATTATTCAATGGAAACGCAGCTAGAGACACTGATAAAAGTGTTACGTTTTCTGCTCCTTTTCTTGTCCTCTTCTTATGTTACGGCCTCTCGTCTCAGTTATGGTGCACTGTTTCCTTCCTCTAAACTCAGTTGGAAAATCAATATCTTTGTGTGGCAGCTGGGCGGCTAATTCACTGTGAAATTCAGAGTGTTTGAGGCTCGCACGATCCCCACGGAGCAGACTCAGGGTGGTCTCCAGAGGCCGGGGCAGTGTCCCGTTCCCCTCACTGCGCACTCAGCGAAGCACCGACCTGACAGAAAGGACAAGTTTGGAGACTTTTCAATTATAAAGAAAGAAAAGTGCGTTGTTATGGTCCTTTCTCTGGGGTTAATCCATCACTGTTTGGACCTTCTGTCTCGGATAAACAAGGAAGGACCTGCAGAATAATAGGATTTATAAATGCCATAAAAAATAAATCAAGTAAAAACTGAAGCCAGGAACACGACACATGGGGGTAAAACAACACATGTATAGATATAGAGAACTAATAAATATATATGATAAAATGAATATATATAAGAAAAGTTGTATTATAGAAATGAATGATATATGATAATAATGCACTAAATTAAATTAAAAATAAGTTAGGTTCCCCAGTGGAGTTTGGCCTGGTCCGCTTGAGTCCAGACCATGGCCCACCAGGGCGAGAGTGGCTCAGTTGGTAGAGCATTGCCCTTTGAGCCCGAAGGTTGTGGGTTCGAGTCCACCACGAGACCTCCTCCACTGACTCTCACTGCTGTTGTTGTGTCCTTGGGCAAGACACTTAACCCACTTTGCCTGTAAGGAGCGCGGGGGTGATGTTCGCTGCTTGCCTTGATGTGTTTGCGAGTAGAAAGAGAGAGGCCAGCGCTCACAAGTGAGTTAGTGCAGCTTTAAATCCTCTCTGCTCCGGTCTGGACCAGAGCCAAACCATGAACACTGTGCAGCTACGTCTCAGGCAGAAAGAGCACGAAAAAAACACGACCAAACACGACCAAACATGACCGATACACTGCAAAAAATGATCAAATATGAGATCATAATTGCTAGATTCGAGTTTTTTTTAACTTGACTTAAGTTCATTCTGATTGTCTTAAAATGAGATTTGCCAATGAGACAAGCAATTTTGACTTGATTCAAGAACTATTGCTTTATTTTCTCATTCCAAGAAAAAAATATCTTGTATCTTTTTAAAACAAGACAATTATTCTTGTTCCACCGGCAAATCTTGTTTTAAGGCAGTCAAAATGTGCTCATATTTAGATACATTTAGCCAAATTTGAGCATTTTTTTTTTCTTTAATTCTGTCATCTTTTGCAGTGTAGAACGCACAGTCATTGTCACCTGTGTTTCTACACTTCCCACAATAACACACCAGACCTTTTTGAACTTTTATACAAATTCACATCAAGAATAAACTTTGTCTTCATCTTTTGGACTTAACAAAAACAGACTAAACCAACAAACCTCCTCCTCTCTGGCTCCCGTTCAGCCCATTTGCTGAGCGCACCTGTTTATGACCAAATCGTTTTAAATCCTCTTCAAATCCAAGTGCTTAGATTGCTTTGGAGAGCTGACCAACATCTCTGGGTCCATGTAATTAAACGTGAAGATGTATCAGAGTTTGATTAAAGCGGTGGGACGCCGAGGTCGCCACTAAATAATGGGCTTTGCAGGAAACGGTCCACGGCGCCGCATCACCGGAGATCCCCTTTAATAACTCGCTCTCATTTAGGTTCTGCTCCTTCAACTGGTGTTTGTCGTGTTTTAGCCACACACAACTGTCCACACATGTATACACAACTATACACAACTATACACAAGCCAACCAGACACACACTTTCTCGGGGATTCACTGAGTCGTAATGTACGGGTTTTATGTAATAAGTTATACATGCATACTGTAAAGGAGATCCAAATGTGCACTGTAAAAAATATTATTCTTATTTTTTTTTTGTGATCAATTTTTTATTATTATGTTCAAGGAGAGTGCAGGGATGAGTACAGCTCACACACACACAAAAACCACACAAAAAAAAAAAATAATAATAATTAAAAAAAATTAATAATAATAAAAATAAATAAATAAATAAACATACATTTTCCATTGTTCTTCTTATTTTTTTAGGCTTTTTTTTAGCTTGAGTGTCGTTTGTCATAAGATCATTTTTCTTCATAATCTTGTTTGAGAAAAAATTCTGAGCGGTGAGTTTTGAAGCTTGTTTTGAGTTTAGCCCAACTTTTTTTGTTTATATAAAATGGGATGTTATGTTATATAAAAAAAATAAAAAAAATAAAAAGTGTTTCATAAATAAGTTAAACATTTTTAATCTAGAATCAAGTCGTTTGGGGCTAGAATTATTTTAATATTTTCAGAAATCCTGTCGAGTCATATTTTCTGATCTTTTTTTTTAGTTTAAGCAGTATTTTTTCTTATTTTTTCCGAGGAATCTTTTCCAGTGGAGTTGCTTTAGTCAAGATTTTTCAATGGGACAAAAAAATGATCTTGTTTGAAAAAGATACAGAAATGTCTCTCTTGGGATGACAAAATGAAGCAACAATTCTTGAAAAAAAAAACTAAATGTCTTTGTCCCGTTGGAGATTCTAGTTTAAACACAGTCAGAATCAGAAACCACTCGATTTAAGCCTTTTTTTACCTAATATTTGATCCTTTTTTGCAGTGTGTAATGAAATTGAGTAATAACAATTTAGTTTCCTGCAACAGAATATCAGAATAATCAGAATATCCAGTGTCTTCTCAGTGTTGTTTTCATATTTAGATAAAACCCTGATTTTTATTGTCATTGGCCAACCCTATATTTAAATTACAAATATTATAATTATATTAAAAAAAATTAGGATTGCAGTATATGTATAATGTATTGTAAAGTATATAGTAATCTGTATTGTATTGTCTGCATGTCAGAGTCAGACACAAATACATAATAACAATTCATTTTGCTTTTTTAGACTTTTTAGGACTTTTTTTTACCGTCATTTGTTGCAATGACTTTACTAATTAAAATAATGAGACTAAAGGAATAAGACTTTTCTCCCAGAGTTGCACAAATGTCTGTTTATCAATGTTATTTTTGGGATCATTTTCAGATAACGTTCAAATAAAACTAAATCTAAAAATAGACCTTAAAACACGACTCATTAGACACAAAAAATAAACAGTTGACTTTTGTTTTGACTGAGGAACTTCTGTGTTTAAAGAGACACTTTTTTATGTTTAAGCTAACGTGAAAACTGAATTATTGGCTCCACCTTAAATCACGTGATGCAGTTCGTCTAATAATGTCTTTTCAGGAAATGGCTTTTCCCCTTGTTACCGCGGCAACATTGCACAATATACCAATGGGTGGGGCAAGTTCTCTCTCTCTTTCTCTCTCCCTTCACTCTTCTCTCTCTCTCCATCTCTCTCTCCCTCTCCTTCTGTCTCCCTCTCTCTTTCTCTGGTCTGTCTCTCTATCTCTCGCTTTCTTCCTCTCCCTCTCTCCTTCTCTCTCTCTGGCCCGTCTCTCTATCTCTCGCTCTCTCTCTCCCTCCCTTTCTCCTCTCTCTCTCTCTCTGTCTCTCTCCCTCTCTCGCTCTCTCTCTCTCCATCTCTCTCTCTCTCTATCTGGTCTGTCTCTCCCTCTCTCTCTCTCTCCCTCTCCTTCTCTCTCTCGTCTGTCTCTCGCTCCCTTTCTCTCTCCCCACTCTCTTCTCTCTCTCTATCTCTCGCTTTCTTCCTCTCCCTCTCTCCTTCTCTCTCTCTGGCCCGTCTCTCTATCTCTCCCTCTCTCTCTCTCTGTCTGTCTCCTTCTCTCCATCTCTCTCTCCCTCTCTCTATCTGGTCTGTCTCTCCCTCTCTCTCTATCTCTCGCTCTCTCCCTCTCTCCCTCTCTCTCTCCCTGCCTCTCTCTCCTTCTCTCTCCTTCTCTTTCTCTCTCTTTCTCTCTCTGTCTCTCTCTCTTGCTCTCTCTCTCTCTCCTTCTCTCGCTCTCTCTCTCTCTCCTGTCTTTCTCCCTTTCTCTCTCCCCACTCTCTTCTCTCTCTCTATCTCTCCTTTTCTCTCTCCCTCTCTCTTTCTCTCACACACACTGATACTAGTTTTACTTTTTTACATTGTTAATCATTTCAAAATTAAGAAATTATATATACATTAAATAATAATAAAATAAATAAATACAACATCTTTTAAATATCTTTAAATAATACATTATTTGAAAGTTAGGTACCCCAGCTTTAAGAGAAAGACCATGTCCATGTTTGGTCAAGTTGAAATGGAGAATGTTTTAAGTTAAATATTTATTTATAATTAAAATACACATGTTTTCCACAGCCTCATGTTCCAGATTCTGACTTATTCCGTTCCCACAGATTTGAAACTGAAACAGTGCTTTTCTAACCCGGCGCAGAGACATTTGTCGTTCTCTGTGCAGTCAAATTGATTCCTGTCGACCCTCTCCTGCTCAGAGTCACATGTCTCCTCCGTGTCCTTGTTTTTGAATTCACCAGAGTGGAGCTTTTAAAAGAAACTTCAGCTCTCCTCTGCTCAGCATCGACGCCCTGGGCCTGGTGCGAGAGGCTCCGTCTGCCCAAGGTGAGAGCCGTGGAGCCACACACACACACACACACACACACACACACACACACACATACACGTTTTTGTTACCTGGTGGGTCCCTTTGACAGGGCCGTTCAGAATGGGACCCATAGACATAATCTTTTTTTACCAAGACTTTAAGTAATACAAAACAGTCAATAGAAACCAAACAACTATTTTAAAGGAATTTTATTTTAGATTTTGTTTTCGAATTGCAGTGATTCTATTTTTGACATAGAATTTAATGCCACTCCATGTCCGATGTCTAAGGTCATCTGGTGAGGCATTAATGCAGGCCAGGCAGTGAGACTTCCCAGGGACCTTTCCAGTCTGTATGAAAGGTGTCATGGTCTTCTCCACAGCCTTCACCTCAGATGCAGACCATGGCTTTCTTACACGTTCTAGGGAGAGAAATAAAAATATATTAGCAATATACACTCCCAGGGTGAGGACCAAGCAGCCTGGCTGTAATCCCCCACCTGGTACACTTACCAGAAGGGGCACTGCCACTACCATGGGGTGCATCTGGATGAATGGTTGAAGGTTCTCCGCTTGAAGTTTCTTTTAGCCCGTCCGTTTGTGAGAGGATCTCTACTGCTCTCCCTGTCGCACAGAAAATAAAAATACAAGTGGCCTTTAGGGGAAAAAAATCATACATATTTTAATAATATCAAGAATTACCTTCAGGCTCAATTTGTATCTGGTCGAGGCTCTTTCCTTCGAATTCCGTCACTCTTCCCTGCTCCATGGCCATCAACACTTTGCTGATTTTGGCCAGCTCCAGTGTCCCCTCTGGTAGTCTGTAATATTGCCTGTGGATGCGAATGTCATGGCCGAGGAAGTTGGCAAGTATGTCCATCTCATTCTCTTTCATATTGAGAACTGTAGACATAGTAGCTATGTGCTTTCTAAGTTTGGTTGAGGATAGCATCTCTGGATGCACCGCACCACATTCTTTGGCTACCTGGCGTAGGGAGTCTGATCCCCTGATGTGGGTGTCTGCGCCCGGGCGGGAAAAGAAGTATGGGTTATGGTCAGAGATGGAACAGGCCCTTCTGTTCTCCACCAGCACCTCCATCGAAGCAATCATTTCAGGAGTCAAAAGAACCGGCACTTTCCGACTTCTTTTCCCTTTAATTTCAATGCGTTGAAAATGCTGACACAGCTTTTTCTCAAGTTGGGACAGTCCCAGAGCAATGTCAGAATGGATCCCAGTCTTACTTCTTAAGGTAAAGGCTGTCAGTGGCATCTTTGAAACCTCACCTTCCCTTCTTCGATTGAAAATGATGACCTCACAAAGAGTCAAAACTGCCAGTTTAGACCAATGCTTAGACGTTGGCTCACTTATTAGGGTTTGCACATATTCAGGTCGACATACCTCAATATGTGCATGCATGGCTCTAACGTCCTCAGTCAGAGGGAGCAGGTCCGGAGTGTTCCACTTGGCTTGCCGGAGGGTCTGTAGGGCAGCAGAAGAAACACAGACGTCCCACCTCTTCTCAAAAAGCAGCCGGCTTCGTTGGAGGTTTTTAATAAATAGTTCATCAACACAATGCTCCATTTTTGAGTCACATTCAAGAATATCTGCTAGCTTTCTGAGGCTATGGCCGAGTTTGAGGGCCAAGGATGGAGTCTTGTATTGATTTGTTTCCTCATCATATCCAGCCACAGACCTGACTGCATCAATCACATGGTTAAAGTTGGAAGGAATAAAGAAATCCTTAATTGTTTTCAGTTTCCCTGCGGTTTTTGCTTCGTTAATTAACCTACCGACTTCTCTCATTTTCTGCCTAATGTAATCATGCTTTGTCTTATCATGCCCGTGTTTTAAGTACAGGTGCTCTCCGAGTCTCAGAATCCCCTTTTCTGCTTTGACAACACCCGTGACCTCATCCTGATGCATTGCCGAAATTAAAGACCACAGCTTTTTGCTGATGCCCTCCGGTACAGGCTGGGCTAGGGAGCAGAGGGACTGGACCCTACTTCTACCTGGTTTAGCCTGGGCATCTTTCTGTGAAAGCCGGCACCTGGCCACATGCCTCCACAGCGACTTTCGCTTAAGCAATGCCCCACAGTCTATACAGTGCAAAAACTCACTGGATTTAACTGGGGAATTTGGCTGTTTAGCTGGGACTAAAGTTCCAATGCCGGCCTTTAAAACCTCAAAATTGTGCTCACGGTTTCCACTATTCCTGATCAAATCAAACTGAAGTTTACGTGCTTTAGATTTCACAGGTAGAGCCAATGCTCTGGCTACGTCACTTTCATTTCCATGTTTTCTAGTCAAATGACGGGACATTTTGTGGCAGGACATTGAACAGTAGAGGCAGAAGTGTCTCTTGCTGTATACTCGCCCCCCATTTTTCTTCTTTTGCAGCTGCATGATAACAATCTTATTTGCCTTTGGTTCGTCACTTTCCGAGTCTTGAAGAAAAGTGTTTTTGATTTTTCTTTTTCCATACTTTTTTACAGGTTTCTTCTTGACAGTTAAATCGTCAGAATCTGAGTCGACTTCATCAATTAGGGACTCTTGACTAAGCTGCACAAACAACAAATAATTTGTAATCATTCTATATAACAATTTGAAGTCATGACTTGTAGTCAGCACTTACCAGTGGTTTGTAAGCGTGCGCTTCAGTGTGCTCCTCCATGATTTCTTGCAGCCTAATGAACCACACACTTGCACCTTTTTCTAGCCTGACACCTGATTTCCTCTGTTGTGCTGCTCCATGATTGGCTCCAGCCTGCTGGACTGAAATTGCCCCAGTGTGCCCCTCCTTGATATCCCGCAACCCACCACCAGGGTTCCGACACATAACACACTTTTTTCAGGAAAGTAAACCTCCAGGGGTCCTTTCCATATTTTTACAGAGACTGCATAAGGACCGTTAGAAAAGCATTACCCATTGATTATTAAGCTTGGACCAGTGGGGTCCGGTGTTCGGGCCCCACCACGTAAAACCAGTCCCCATGACGTGAGTGGAATCTCAGGTTATGGAACCCACCAGGAGTTGAAAACAAGTGCACACACACACACACTTGTATCATACACACACACACACACACACATGATGCTTGACGCCTGCTGTGACGGATGACTGTGGACACGGCCTCAGACACGGCCTAGAGTCTGAGAGAGAGAGACCTGCAGATATGAAGTCGATAAATATAGAGATTCTCTGGGAGGGGGAGAGAGAGGGAGCTAGAGAGAGAGAGAGAGAGAGAGAGAAAGAGATGGAGCTAGGGAGAGACAAAGAGAGGGAGGGAGAGAGAGAGAGAGAGCGTGGAAGAGAGCCACAGAGAGAGAGATAGGGAGGGAGCTCTAGAGAATGAGAGGGAGAGGGAGAGAGAGAGAGAGAGAGAAAGATGGAGACAGGGAGAGAGAGAAAGAGAGGTAGGGAGAGAGAGGGGGAGCTAGAGAGAGAGAGAGAGAAAAAGATGGAGATAGGGAGAGAGAGAAAGAGAGGGAGGGAGAGAGAGAGAGAGAGAAAGATGGAGACAGGGAGAGAGAAAGAGAGGGAGGGAGCGAGAGAGAGAGAGAGGGGTAGAGAGCCACAGAGAGAGAGGGAGGGAGCTAGAGAGAGAGGGAGAGAGAGGGAAAGAGAGAGGGAGGTAGCTAGAGAGAGAAAGAGAAATAGAGAGGGGAAGAGAGCCACAGCGAGAGAGAGAGAGAAGTTGGTGCTACGGCTAAGCTAACAAAATTGCGTACTGCACCTTTAAGACGTGAACCAAATTGAAAGTGGACATTTTTAGACGTAAATAAAGCCATACATCTGATCGTGGCAACAAAAGGTTCAGCAGCTGCTCAGGATGGTTGTTATGGTTATTATTCTTCAGTCCAATATCAAAGTCGTCATGTGACCTCATCTATGACATCATCAGTATCCATGTGACCCAAAAGTCTTCCTCTTCAGCTTATTACACTATTATTAAAGCACTGAGTAGAATATGTGGAAAGTGTATTATCATAAATATCCCCAATACTCATTCCGTGTGTGTTCCGTGTGCTCCTGACCGTGCAGCGGCAGAAGGCGTGTTGGACCCGGTGTACGAGGCGCTGCGTTACGGGACGTCTCTGGCACAAATGAGCCGCTCCAGCTTCAGCAGCATCTCAGAGTCCCCGAGTCACGAGGTAGAGACGCTTCTCCATCGCACACATCTGCACTAACACTGTGTACGTACTGATGTGTGCTTTTCTTCTGCTCAAGGGAAAAGCGCTGGACAAACTAGAAAATCAGCCCATCGCTGAGGAGGAGCCTATACCAGGAAGTGAGTCATGGACCAACACCAGGACTATGTGTGTTTGAGGCATTCAGGCTTTTCCGTGTGTTTCTGTAGTTAAAACATTTATTTATGTTTTTTATGTTTATTTTTATTTATGTAATTATGTATTTTTCTATTATTATTTTGTTTTTATTTATTATTATTATTATTATTATTTATTTATTATTATTATTTATTTATTATTATTATTATTTATTTTATTTATTTTATTTATTTTATTTATTTTATTTATTTTATTTATTTTATTTATTTTATTTATTTATTTATTTTTTAAATATATATTTTAATGGTAATATTATTTAATTTCGTATTTGTTTTTTATTCATTCATTATTGTTATATGTATTATTTTTGTATTTATTTTATTATGATAATTTTATTTAATATTGTTTGTTTGATTATTTATTTATTTCAATTGTGTACATGACCATACACCACAAATAATAATTTCAAATATTCGTAGTCAGAAAAAAGTCTTATGTTCCGTGCCCCTTTCTTAAACTTCAACAAATTAAAATACATATAAATAAACATGGACTGCAGCACATACAACATTCGGGTCATTCTTAAACTTGTCGCTTCCTCAATCAGAAAAAAACATATTAAGTCATCGTCTAAATATAGAGATACTTTCACATCATTAGTATTCACACGCATGACCGTTTATGGACAAGACCGACCCCCCTGTACCGACCAATCAGCTCTCAGCTCTCAGTGTCACATGTCTCTTCTTTGCAAAGTAGTTTAAATGTAAAATTTTCAGATACACAACATGGAGCAAAAGTCACATGTGTGAATCTGGAAGAAGAAACGCTAAAATGATAAGCAAAATTAGCTAATAATGTTGAACGATATGAATACTGCAGCGCGGACAGACACCAAATCAATTAGATATAATCCCCATTTTTATAAATCACATGCAGGGTCAAGGCAGAGAGAAGTATGATTAAAACTACATTTTCTATACCTTTACTATTTCCTATCATTTTGCAAACACAAACTTTCGGATATGAAGATAGTAGTTATGCAAATACTGAGGCATCCCCAAAATGGCATTCCTCCCCTAAAAGTGCACAATTTTTAAAATGAAGGCATTCTCACACAGCCTTGAAGCGATTGGGTAAAAGAACAATGTGTTTAAAATAACTGCTAAAAAGACAGAACTGATGCCTCCAATTATCAGTAAAAAACTTATTAGACTGTCTCAAAATGTTGTTTTCTTCACCCGAGGTTTGTTTTAAGAATTTACCAATCCTTCATTATCGTCAACGTGCCGAAATTATATTCAAAATCACTAAAGCTGAAGACTTTGGAGGAATGATGTATCACAAAATATACATATTGTCGTTGCCATAATTAACAAGAAACACATACATCTTTTAAAAACGCTCGTGTCTGTGCTGAATATTCACCCCTCCTCTTGTTTATATCAGTCACTTTGTTACTACACCCCAGGTTTCGAAAGCAAAACTATTAAATTTTAGAAGAGTTTAATTTAAACAAGGTCATAACGTTTAAACATAACAGGGTAGAATTTACCACGTTTTTCTTTTTAGAATAAGGCAGCACAGTTAAACTAAACAAATGTGTCTTACCCTGCAGACTGCTGAGCCATAGACCGAGTATAGGAGTGGACTGACGCCGTTTAGAAACTAAGGCTACTGGTACCCAATTTCCTTTAAATGGTATGTTCCAATGCATTAGCCTAGTGCCATAACATAGGCATGACAGTTGCTAGGATGGTTGCTAAGGCAAGCTGGGACTTCCCCCAAGAAGCGATCGGTCAATCCTATACGCCTCATAACAACATTTCAAAGACGATATCAAAATAAAACTCCAGGAGCAGCGCTAAACCACAGATTGGGAACACTAACGTTGTACCGAGCTGAGGAGTATACATTTCAGTAGAAGTTTGATTACGAGCCCAGACGAGTTGGAGCAAAACTTTGTCCATGAGCACATCCCATCCCATATGGGCTTCATTGAGCTAGCGGTTAAGCATGTCTATCTATAAACATCCATGGCTGCAGCTCGGCCATGAGGCTCGGGTTCATCTTAAACTTGAGGCCTTAGTTAGAGACCAAAATTGGATTTCACTGTCAAAGTAAAAAAGGGCAACATTTCGTCCTCATCATAAAAACCTTACGGATTCATTTGTTCTTGTTTTAACCTTTTGTCAATTTCCATGTTTTAAATCAATAACAGGAAAAGTCTAATTTTTTCTCAACATAGTCCCCCCCTGTACCTTCTGGCCCGTCTCAATTTACACAGAAAAACGGCCATTTATGGCTGTGCAGACTTTCTATTTTTTTCTAACAGCTTTTAAAGAAAATAGACACTGAGAGTGTTGAAAACAGACCTAGCTCAATGATCATAAATTCATTCCACTGCCGGTTAAGTGCTGAAACCCTTATAAAAATATATCTCACTCTCCCAGAAGACCGATCTATCAACTTGAACTTTTGACGGTTTGTGGCGGACTCTCGTAACCTCACAATATCAGATGAAGGCCTTAATCTCCTCTGGTCCCTGGTGCAGGGCACCATTTGAGCGCCAGGAGACTTTCGATTCCAGATACCCCAACGGATCTCACTGCGGCGATGAGACAGGCTCAGAATGTCCTCGGCCAGGCAGGAGACAGAGGAGAAGCGGACATTGTCAGGTCAAACTGTCCCCGTCAGAATTCTGACAATTTGTTGCTGGAAAACCAAGGAAAAAATACATATTTTGGGATAATTCAAATCAACGCGTTTTGTATAGCACAATATGATCATCCAACAAAACTCTGTCCTCTGTTCTGGTTCTGTTTTCTGTGTAATGATTGCTGTGCTGTATTGTGTGTTCTGAATACTGTACCTGAACATCTGCTGGAGGAACATAAGAACACAAGACAACAAAATTATCTAAAAATAAAAATAGAACCTAAACTAACGAGATGAGAGAACGAAACAGGTTAGAAGAGGGAACATGCAATAATAACAAACACCTATGAACCCATAAAAGTACTGAAATAATCCTGGAACATCACTTGTCCTTAACCTTCTACATGGTTTTTTTTGTTATGCCTTATATTCTTCTTGTTTGTTGTCTTGCTTTTTATTGTCCCTAAAAAAAACAACAAAAAAACATCTTGACCAATCTATGGAGCTCTCATACAAGCCCATGAAACAGAAACATGATGAATAAGGACTTATTTTTGATGATTCTCACATCACACCTGCATTTCTGTTAAACCACTCACCTTACAAAAATGTTGCAGACTTCACTTAGATGTTGCCTTGGCCCTAAAACCCAAACGCTAAAACGGGGCTAACTTGGTCCGATATGGCATAGAATAGTGAGATGAACCCGTCGGGACCTTAAGAAAAGCACAGTTAAAACAGATTTTTTTTATTTAAGTACACCAAATAAAGGAACAGATACTAATAGCACTTTTAGTGATTTCATGCAGCCTATAGCGAAGCGTGCTAATGCATGTAAGTTTCAAATTTTTGTTAGCGCGCCGCCACGGCACAGGATGGAAGTTGGACATAGGATCTAAGTAAGTAGTAAGCTTATCTGTATAGAGCTATTCACAGACCAGGAATCTAAAAGCGCTCCACACATTAAAACACATAAAATACACATACAAGTCAGATTTAAAAACAAAAACACAGAAGAACAGAGGCCTATGACAGTGAGGCAGAAAGCTTGTCAAACCAGCCTTCCTGCAGCCCCCCCACTCTCTGGAACTCCCTCCCTCACCCAATTCAGAAACACAGACTCTCTACAGAACTTTTTAATCTCTTCTCAAAACCCACCTGTTTCAGCTTGCCTTTCCTCAATTATGTTTTTTCAATATTTTATTTCTAAGTGTTTTGAAAGCGACTTTGAGTGGTCCAAAAAAGCGCTATACAAGTTGATTCATTAATATTATTATTATTATTATTAAACAAATCTGTTCTTAAGTTGTGGACTCAAAAATCATCCACAGACTCTCCTGCCTCCTTCAATGCCCCGCGGAACCAGTCAGATCTATGGAGACACTGGTGCAGCTGATTGCTCTGAGAAGTGAGGCTTATTGTTGTGATCATATGTTATAATTATTATTTTTTTATTTAAATACCGCCTTTTCACTGCACATCGGAGTCTCAAAGCGGTTTACAATTGTTATTTTTGGGAGTGGAGGTGCCAGTACAGGAGGCACATGCCAGACCTATTGTACATATTTTTAGTGGTAGGGGAAACCGGAGCACCCGGAGGAAACCTACGCAGACACGGGGAGAACATGCAAACTCCACTCAGAAAGGCCCTGGTCCAACCGGGATTCGAACCCAGGACCTTCTTGCTGAGAAGAGTGCTATCCACTCAGCCACCGTGCCGCCCATGTGTTGTTTTGTGTTTTCATGTAATGTGTATGTCTTCTCCTGGACCCCGAGTCTGTGATAAAAGTTTGAGGTTTCATCCACAGCACTAAATATCATCCGTGGAGACTAACCCAGACTAACCCAGGCTAATTTACAGATTACCTTTTGACAATATGGCCCTGTCCTTTACCTCCTGAATATCTCGCTCCTCCTCCCGGTCTTCCGAATACAGCTTGTTGCGGCGGACAGTGAGTTGGCCCAGCTCCAGTTGAAGTCTTTTCTGATCTTCAGTGCTGGAGAATGACACGTTTTCTTCATTCATAAACGTTGACTCTGAAACTAGTGGTATTTTCAAATCTTCCAACATGGCTCTGAAATGATTTATCTGAAAAACACAAATGATTGGAGTTCATCAATATTGTATTCATTAAACTCTCTAGCTCTCTATCAAACTCAAGCCCGTGGGCCAAATCAGGCCCGCAAAACCAATTTTAATGGTCCCTGAAATGATCATTATTACAGTAACTTGCAGCATTGATGGTAATGGGCTCCAAGGGCTTGTTATACTTAATTTTTGGTAAATTTCTTTGGTGCTATGAGACTTGGGTGGCATCTCTGATTGCCACCCCCCTGACCCAGAAATGGATTAAAGGGTAGAAAATGGATGGATGGCTCAGTTGGTAGAGCATTGGCCTTAGAGCCTGAGGATCGTGTGTTCAAGCCCACCACGAGACCTTCTCCACCGACTCCCACTGATGTCTGCTGTCGTTGTGTCCTTAACCCCACTTTGCCTGAAGCCCCCACTGAAAGATCTCAGCTCCTGTGGACTCACCACCTGCAGGAGGATCAGTGAGGGGCTGGTGGTCTGTGACTGGGTGCAGCTCTGACTGCCACCCCCCCCCCCCCCCCCTCCCACCACCACCCAGAAATGGATTGAGGGGAAGAAAATTGATTAATGGATGGACTTTCTCACAAAAACAACCATATAATTGTATCTGTTTTCAAACATGTAATTAGATGTTAATTTGGGCAAAGATTTTCTTTTTTATAAGTAATAAGTAATCTTTATTTATATACCGCCTTTTCACTGCACATCGGAGTCTCAAAGCAGTTTACAATTGTTATTTTTTGGGAGTGGGGGGGCCAGTACAGGAGGCACATGCCAGACCTATTTTTAGTGGTAGGGGAAACCGGAGCACCCGGAGGAAACCTACGCAGACACGGGGAGAACATGCAAACTCCACTCAGAAAGGCCCTGGTCCAACCGGGATTTGAACCCAGGACCTTCTTGTTGAGAGGCGAGAGTGCTATCCACTCAGCCACCGTGCCGCCCATTTGCCGTATATTTAACTATGAATCTTCAATTACAATTTTTCTTCATATTCGGCCGAAAGTTCTGATTGAATCCAAACCTAGAACTAGAAAATAATGTCCAAACTTATGTCAAATGGAAAATTTGAATGATAATTTGTCAAAACACAAAAATATGTAAATAGTAGCAGTAATACAAGTAAACCACCATAATACTCTTGGCCCCAACCAGCTCTTATGTTTTTTTAAACTTGGCTCCATCCAAAATGACTTGAACACCTCTCTACCTTCTCATCACAGCTGGATATTTTCCGGGTCAAACTTGCGATGGCCTTGTCCAGCTCCTGGCTCTTCAGAGATGGCAAAGGTGTGACTGTAGAGAGTGTGTCTGCGTCTTCTGCTCTCTCTCGAACCAAAACGACGGCTCTCTTCAAACTTTCGTAGAACAACTTCTCAGCGTGCCCCATTTCTGAATCCAATCCTTGTTTTACTTTGGCCAAATCCTCAGGCGAATCTCGGAAGCATCTCATGACATGTTTGTACGACTTCTTGCCCTTGGCTTTGAGTTGTGGCTCAGGATCAATGCTCTCCTCCATTTCCTCACATATGGACTGGTGCGTGTCAAGTGCTGTTTGGAGAGATTTGTCCTTAATGTCAAATGCAACGTGTGAAGTCAAAGCCACTTCCACGTGACCAAAGCCCTTCTCCAGCAGCTTTGAGAGTCGGTGTTCCTGCACGGTTTCTTCAGGCCGCTGGGGGAGGATGGCCGTCGTCTTCAAGTGGAGTTTTTTAACACTTGAAGAAAGTAGGGTCGGTTTTCTTGCCTGTGTTTTGGTGTCGTCGGGCTCAGACATGACGGGGGCTGGAGGCTACAGAGAAATAACATGGTTAAATGTAAAAGAACTGCAGGATTTTTCTGACAAACGTGATTACGATTAGATTTGCAATTTTACTTTTTAAACCTCTAAACAAAGGGGTCTCCAACCTGTGGCTCGTGAACTACCAGTAGCTCGCCAGCCCCTTTCAGGTAGCTCGCCAAAGGATCTAGAATGTATCTGTTAGATGTATAAATATAGGGTTATACTGTATTATGGTATGTTTTCCATGTTTTGTCCCAATTATTACATGTTTTACCACGACTGCAAAAAGGAGTAGCTCTCTGCCTCTTCTTTAGTATAAAAGTAGCTCTCCAATTGAAAAAAGGTTGGAGACCCCTGCTCTAAATTGTAGGAACAAGTAGTTTGACTGTTTCATGATGTACAAAAGGTCACTTGCTTTATTAATGGAGATTAGATAATATACACTTTATTGATCACATTTGGCACGGATAGAATCACTCAGATTGTGTAAAAAGGCAAAATTGTGCAATATGTTAAAGTGGACATATCGTGTTTTGAAATAATTGATTTTTACATCTAAATCATTAATTTGTGGTCTATATAAAGCGAAACTGCAATGCCTGGGTCTGAGTCTCATTATTTGTAGCTCCACAGGCCTTTCTTCTACACCTGTTCTGAGGTGCGTCTGAGAGCAACCTGTTTTGGTGCTGTCTCTTTAAATGCAAATGAGGCGCTTTTGACCACGCCCCCATTCAGGTGACACAGGTTCAACTCCACCCCGAGCGGCCATTTTCGTAGTTTCTAAGCACAGATACAATTATCTCATAGAAACTTCTCATTACATCGCAAACATGAAGCAGGCCTTCCTCATTGACTGAAAGCAAATGTTAAGTTTCATTCTTAGTCCAGTCTTATTATCGACTCTTCTCTTTTTAGCTTTGGGATCCATGCGCACAGTCAAGGCAAGGAAAGGCAAGTTTATTTATATAGCACAATTCATACACAAGGCAACTCAAAGTGCTGAACAAAATATGAAAGCATTAAAATCATAAATAATCACAGAACATTAAAAAGAAAGATACAAATATAAAATCCCTCAGTTGTAGCACAGCTAAACAGAACTGTCTTTAACCTGGTTTTAAACATTGTCAGAGAGGAGGCCTGTCTCACATCTTCAGGAAGACTGTTCCAGATTTTAGCAGCATGAATCTGAAAAGCAGCCTCCCCATGTTTAGTTCTGACTCTGGACACTAACAGGAGTCCAGTCCCTGTGATCCTCAGAGTCCCAGCAGGAGTCCAGTCCCTGTGCTCCTCAGAGTCCCAGCAGGAGTCCAGTCCCTGTGCTCCTCAGAGTCCCAGCAGGAGGCCAGTCCCTGTGCTCCTCAGAGTCCCAGCAGGAATCCAGTCCCTGTGCTCCTCAGAGTCCCAGCAGGAGTCCAGTCCCTGTGCTCCTCAGAGTCCCAGCAGGAGGCCAGTCCCTGTGCTCCTCAGAGTCCCAGCAGGAGGCCAGTCCCTCTGCTCCTCAGAGTCCGGGCTGGTTCGTATGGTACTAACATGTCACTGATATATTTTGGAGCGAGGCCATGGAGAGACTTGTAACAAGCAGAGCTCACACGCCGGTTTGTTTACAACAGCGGCCGCCTGGCGCGGGCCTACGTCGCAGGATAAGACGCACTACGTGGACAGAAATGTTTAAATTGAATATTACTTATGCACAATTTTACAGCATTTAAAAACGTTAAGAACGTTTTTCCTTCTACAGAAGGAAAGAGACGCATGCACCTCCGGAGCCGCAGGTTGCCGACTCCTACTTTATACAGTATGTGGAAGCAAATACTGTAGAGGATCAGGATATGTGCAGTTTCAACTATAAAATAAAATGCAATATTCTACATTACAAGAGAGTAATAAACATGTCTCACAGTGAGACATGTTGCATCCCTGTAACTATTGTTTGTTACAGGGATGAGAATTGGTCAAAAAAGACTGAAATGCATATTGTCAGCCATTTGCTGGCTCTAAATCTGTTTAATTTGTTCACAACATTTTACTTGTTGTGAACAACAAGTGCCCTTATATGGCAGTCTTGCTGCAAATACTGTGACGTAATAATTCTAAACACGTAATAGAGAATGGCAAAATCAGAACGGGTTGAAAAATCTTACCTAAAAAGAATATGAAGTGTTCTCTGCAACCCATGAAGAGACTGATTTCAACTTTTTTGCACTTCTAGAGGCTCCAACTTCACAACATAAGGCATTTAAGACACAAAAAGTGGATTTTTCATGATATGTCCCCTTTAAGGTTAAAAATATACAGGATATAATTATGTACAATGAAAAAGGTAGCAAAAGTAGCAATAGCAAGAGGCAGAAGCATAAAACCACCCAAAACCCAACGCACTTAACACACATGAAGCAGTAAAGTAACTTCCATTCTAAATATGTCTCCCATTCAAATGTACTTTTTAACAAACACGATGGTTTTGTGTATCCTGTAAACTTTACTTTCACTTACCTCAGGTCCTCTGTTTGTGCAAACTCTTGTGCATGTGTATATGTTGCTAGGAAACCACCTCCCAAACAGAGCTGTCACAGGGAGGAGGTAGAGACAAGGGAGAGGAGGCGGGGACAGTGGAGAGGAGGCGAAGAAAGGGGAGAGGAGGTAGAGAAATGGGAGAGGAGGTAGAGACAGTGGAGAGGAGGCGGAGACATGAGAGAGGAGGCGGAGACAGGGGAGAGGAGGTAGACACAGTGGAGAGGAGGCGGAGACTGGGGAGAGGAGGTAGAGACAAGGGAGAGGAGGCGGGGACAGTGGAGAGGAGGCGGAGACAGTGGAGAGGAGGCGGAGACAGGGGAGAGGAGGTAGAGACAAGGGAGAGGAGGCGGGGACAGTGGAGAGGAGGCGGAGACAGTGGAGAGGAGGCAGAGACAGGGGAGAGGAGGCGGGGACAGTGGAGAGGAGGCAGAGACAGGGGAGAGGAGGCGGGGACAGTGGAGAGGAGGCAGAGACAGTGGAGAGGAGGCAGAGACAGGGGAGAGGAGGCGGGGACAGTGGAGAGGAGGCAGAGACAGTGGAGAGGAGGCAGAGACAGGGGAGAGGAGGTAGAGACAAGGGAGAGGAGGCGGGGACAGTGGAGAGGAGGCAGAGACAGTGGAGAGGAGGCAGAGACAGGGGAGAGGAGGCGGGGACAGTGGAGAGGAGGCAGAGACAGGGGAGAGGAGGCGGGGACAGTGGAGAGGAGGCGGAGACTGGGGAGAGGAGGTAGAGACTGGGGAGAGGAGGTAGAGACAAGGGAGAGGAGGCGGGGACAGTGGAGAGGAGGCAGAGACAGTGGAGAGGAGGCAGAGACAGGGGAGAGGAGGTAGAGACAAGGGAGAGGAGGCAGAGACAGTGGAGAGGAGGCAGAGACAGTGGAGAGGAGGTAAGAGACAAGGGAGAGGAGGCAGAGACTGTGGAGAGGAGGCAGAGACAGTGGAGAGGAGGTAGAGACAAGGGAGAGGAGGCAGAGACAGTGGAGATGAGGCGGAGACATGGGAGAGGAGGCGGAGACAGTGGAGAGGAGGCGGAGACAGTGGAGAGGAGGCGGAGACAGGGGAGAAGAGGCGGAGACAGTGGAGAGGAGGCGGAGACAGTGGAGAGGAGGCAGAGACATGGGAGAGGAGGTAGAGACAAGGGAGAGGAGGCAGAGACAAGGGAGAGGAGGCGGGGACAGTGGAGAGGAGGCGGGGACAGTGGAGAGGAGGCGGAGACAGTGGAGAGGAGTTGGAGACAGTGGAGAGGAGGCGGAGACACTGGAGAGGAGGCGGAGACAGTGGAGAGGAGGCGGAGACAGGGGAGAGGAGGCGGAGACAGGGGAGACAGGGGAGAGGAGGCGGAGACAGGGGAGACAGTGGAGAGGAGGCGGAGACAGCGGAGAGGAGGCGGAGACAGGGGAGAAGAGGCGGAGACAGGGGAGAGGAGGCGGAGACAGGGGAGACAGGGGAGAGGAGGCGGAGACAGGGGAGAGGAGGCGGAGACGGAGGGGGAGAGGAGAGGAGGCGGAGACAGGGAGAGGAGGCGGAGACAGGGGAGAGGAGGCGGAGACAGGGGAGAGGAGGCGGAGACAGGGGAGACAGGGGAGAGGAGGCGGAGACAGGGGAGAGGAGGTGGAGACAGTGGAGAGGAGGCGGAGACACTGGAGAGGAGGCGGAGACACTGGAGAGGAGGCGTAGACAGGGGAGAGGAGGCGGAGACAGGGGAGAGGAGGCGGAGACATGGGAGACAGGAGAGAGGAGGCGGAGACAGGGGAGAGGAGGCGGAGACAGTGGAGAGGAGGCGGAGACAGTGGAGAGGAGGCGGAGACAGTGGAGAGGAGGCGGAGACAGTAGAGAGGAGGCGGAGACATGGGAGAGGAGGCGGAGACAGTGGAGAGGAGGCGGAGACAGTGGAGAGGAGGCGGAGACAGTGGAGTGGAGGCGGAGACAGGGGAGAGGAGGCGGAGACATGGGAGAGGAGGCGGAGACATGGGAGAGGAGGCGGAGACATGGGAGAGGAGGCGGAGACAGTGGAGTGGAGGCGGAGACATGGGGGAGGAGGCGAGACAGTGGAGAGGGGACCGGCCTGTGTACTGGAACAATGAAGACAAAGTCAGTTAAAATGTATTCATAAACAAATGTGTGAAGAAAAAGAGAGATATTTAGGGTTGTCTTTGTGTTTTTGTAATGTCTGAATTTCAAGTTTATTATTTGATTGTTTTGCAATATGGGGATATTTTTGTACATTGTCTTCTTTTGGTTGTTTTTTGTGTGTAGTGTGTAGTATTGCTTGCATTGAACCAAAACTATGAATAAATGATTAAACAAATAAGGACATTTTCCAACATGCCCTGGCAGCACGTAGAAGCATGTTATATATCAACCATATTTAAATTTAAACATTGAACACATGAGGAAATTATTATCATACCAGGTAAGTCTGCGAAATCAAGCTTATTATACTTTTGGTCTATTGTTGGTCGTGCTGCATGTTCAGAAATATCTCTGATTATGAATAATAATATTGCTTTCTTTACAAACGTAGACTAACGTTTTAAAATCCATGCATCAGTACCTGGTCATTGCTGTTATCTTTATCATTCGTAAGTTCCGTACATCACCAGTAGAGGGCAACCTTCTATAACTGCAAACAGCTGCTGTAAAATGGAAACGTCTGGGTGTTAAAAGATTTCATGTGAATCAATTATCATTAAGTTAATAAAGCTGGAATTACAGTGTTTCAGATTGACTAAAGTTCGCGCCCTGCCACCTGTAGCACCAGTCTCCTCCATACATTAGTCTTTGAACGCCTGAAGTAGATCCGGCTGCGTCTGAATGACTCTCCACACAACAGATGATGAGGCTGGATGTTATGGTAATGATAATAAAATGTGGTCCTGGATTAACAGTGTGGGAGCTCAGAGACGAGGGCCACTGGAGGAGAAAACTGGTCATTTCACAGCTCAGCTCATGCATTTCTTCATCACCGAGAGCGACAGTCATCTGGACCATCATGTCACAGCGGCCTTCCATGAAAAGAAAAGAATGGACCCGAGCATAGTTCATGGTCTGTTCAGTTTTGGATTCACTTTGACCATTTTTTTTAATCACACCTTTTTTATTTATTTTCAACCTATTGTTCAACCTATTCGAGATATGACCACAAACCAGCTTGATAAAGTTGTGTTTACATGAGGTTTTTTTCTGCTCTCCATCATCAATCAATCACATTTATTTCTAAGCACAATTTTTAAGATGAAGATTAATAGATCCTTTATCCGTGCCACTGTGGGGAAATGTCAGTGTTGCATCACCAGTTACAGAACAGTAGGAGTGAGGAGCACACAGCACAAGATGAATGAATAATAACTCAAAATAAAATAAAATAAAAATGTGTCTGGACTGAGCATGCCTTTAAAAAGTAAAAGAATGGGTAACAATATGATAATAGTAACAATAAAAATTAGATGCTGGTATTATGGCCATACCTGCAGGTGAAAGCCAAATCCCATCAGACCTCAGAAGCTAAGCAGGGCAGGGCCTGGTTAGTACTATGGTGGGAGACCTCTGGGAACTCCAGGAGCCACAGTGGGGCGGCTGTGTCTGTAAAGTGCCAAACCGTTGTGTCCTTAGACATTTACCCGGCATCAGAATGAGTCTGGTGTGTGTGTGATTGGTTGCTTGATTGGAGGTGGGAGGGGCTGATGGCACAGACTGGTTGCCTCGCTTCTGCCAGTGTGCCTCAGGGCAGCTGTGACTGCAGTATTTTAATGTGTGTTGTATATTGTTTTTATGCTGCCTGTAAGGTGACCTTGGGAATTTTGAAAGGCGCCCACAAATAAAATGTATTATTATTTATTATTATTATTAGTAGTAGTTTATCACCACTGTGTTTGGAGAGAATGAACAGTAACCATAGTAACGTGATGTATCATTGAGCTGTGCTATATAAAACCAATGCATTTTTATTATTATTATTATTATTATTGAAAATGGGACAAAAGCTTTTCATACAAACATGTACAAATCCAGTTAGTTCAGTCACAAAGATATTTCTTCTTTTGAATCAGAATCTTTTGTCATGTTTTACCGACTTTGTCTCAAAGTTGGACCTATATATTTCTATAAGTCCAATGCCCTGATCACATACTGACTGCCACCCCTGACCCAGAAATGGATTAAGGGGAAGAAATGGATGGATGGATCAATGCCCTGTCGTACTTGATCCACTTCAGTGTTCCTTACCCATAATGCAATGGAACAGTCTGACTGAGATGGTCAATAACTGATTATTCATATATGATTCAGATTTGCGGTGTGTATAAACTGTGTTATATAAATAAACTTGCCTTGTCATTATGTCATGTTCTCCTGTGATGGAGCTCGTTAACTTTTGTCAGATTGAGTTTGAGAAACAGACGCCGCATTTCAGACCGAGCCCAAAAGAATCAATGAGAGTAATTACTGCTACAGCAAAAACAGCAGAACTGAGTCAGCGACGCTCATCGTAATGAGAAAGGCCAAAGCAGTTGAGTTTTCTGCAGAGATGCATTTTCACACATTTCAGAGGGTTTTGAAATAAACATTTTTACAATGGACCAGCAGCAAGGGGAGAGGAGCACAGGTACATATAGACACAGAGACACAGGTACATATAGACACAGAGACACAGGTACATATAGACACAGAGACACAGGTACATATAGACACACAGAGACACAGGTACATATAGACACAGAGACACACAGGTACATATAGACACAGAGACACAGGTACATATAGACACAGAGACACAGGTACATACAGACACACAGAGAGACACAGGTACATATAGACACAGAGACACAGGTACATATAGACACAGAGACACAGGTACATGTAGACACAGAGACACAGGTACATATACAGTAGACACAGAGACACAGGTACATATAGACACAGAGAGACACAGGTACATAAAGACACAGGTACATATAGACACAGAGAGACACAGGTACATACAGACACAGAGAGACACAGGTACATGTAGACACAGAGACACAGGTACATATAGACACAGAGACACAGGTACATATAGACACAGAGACACAGGTACATATAGACACAGAGACACAGGTACATATACAGTAGACACAGAGACACAGGTACATATAGACACAGAGAGACACAGGTACATAAAGACACAGGTACATATAGACACAGAGAGACACAGGTACATACAGACACAGAGAGACACAGGTACATATAGACACAGAGAGACACAGGTACATATAGACACAGGTACATATAGATACACAGAGACACAGGTACATATAGATACACAGAGACACAGGTACATATAGATACACAGAGACACAGGTACATATAGACACAGAGACACAGGTACATACAGGCACACACAGAGACACAGGTACATACAGACACACAGAGACACAGGTACATATAGACACAGAGAGACACAGGTACATATAGACACAGAGACACAGGTACATATAGACACACAGAGACACAGGTACATATAGACACAGAGACACAGGTACATACAGACACAGAGACACAGGTACATACAGATACACAGGTACATATAGACACAGAGACACAGGTACATACAGACACAGAGACACAGGTACATACAGACACACAGGTACATATCTACACAGCGTGTCTAAAGATCTAACCTTAACCTTCCTCTTGACCGTGTAGATCCAGCTCTTCTTCTGGTCTTTCAGCTCAATCGCTCTCGTCTCTGTTTTGATCAAATAAATGCTCACAGGGACTCTTCACTTACGAACACTTAAGTGAAGAGATTTATGGCGTGGGCGACCTCTGGCTGATGAGAGAGACCTTCACAAACACAGAGGTGAGCGAGGCCACACAGAGACACACGGGGGCCCCGCTGTTCCCTGGGGGCCCCTGAGGTTTGTCCGTGGAGCAGAGAGCTGTGGATCTGCAGACCTCAACTTTCATTATTCATAAACCCCGGTGGATTTAGGAGTGGTTTTGTTAATTAAAAAACTAGCAGCAGCAGCAGAGGCCTCAGAGCAGCTCAGTGAGACGGCACTTCTAAGATCTAAAATCGAGCAATACTAAAGGTTTTCTTGTGCAGATCATTCAAAATAAAAATTGCTTTAATATCAAAATCTAAATGAACTGTTTGCAAAGTAAGTGCATTCATAGATTCTTAAAGGTGTTTTTTGAGTGAGTATTCATTCCCCATACACTTCACTGTACCGCCACAAACAAATCTTATTGTTCTTCTGTGAAAGGCAAGGTTATAGACAATTGAGAAGTTAACACATTTTACGGGATTTATTTTTTTGCAGTAAAAATCTGAAAAGTGTTTATGTTCTGGAGCTGCAAAAATACAGCAGAGAACCTTTTGGGGTGTAAAAGGGTGCTTAGGGGTGTGTACTTATCAAGGGGTTGTTAATGTACCCACTTGTGATTGACAGTTTTTTCCCACTCTTCTTTGCATAACAGCTCAAGTTCAGTTCGATGAATGTAACAATGTAAAAAAAAAAAAAAAAACACTTTTAGCGTTAGTGTTTCACATGTTGACTGTGTAAACTTTTTCCCAATACCCCATCTCAGCCTCAGTATGTTCTTGTCATGATCTGCTCCTGGAGTGCCCTCCCCCTCCCCTCTTGTCTGCTGTAGTCCTGCTGCTCCAATCAACACACCTGCATTCTCACCTGGGTTCATCTCATCAGCACCAGCACAAAAGGAGCAGCTCTACAGCCACTCCTCGCCAGTTTGTCGCTTCGTTGACACTTGTCAGTCTCTTAGCACTTGGCTCTATCGCTACAGTTGCATTTTTTGTCCAGATCTGGATTTTTTACCCACGGTGCCTGCCTGCCTGCTTGCCTGCCTGCCCTGTAGACTGCCTGCCTGCCCATACACTTTTGTAAATAAATCTGTTCTTTTTTGGATTCTACTGCCTCTGCCTCTGCATTTGGGTCCTATCCAGACCCGTGACAGTTCTAGCCTCCAACAGCTTTTATTCCAATGACATCCCTTCCACTGTCACCACACAGGATCAACGGCAACACTA